ATGGCTAGAACAAGAGAAAGAGAAAGAGCAATGCGAGGCAGAGGAAGGGGACGGGGCGAGGGGAGAGAAGAAAAAGTCAGTCAAAATAAATCAGTCCCTCCTTGACAGAGAGAAAGGGGGGCTGATAGTGAGTTGGCAAAACAATAACATACAAGGGAATAGAAGGAAGGAACAGAAATCGAGAGCAGGAGATGGGAGAGGTAGGGAGAGAGGGAAGCAGATAATGATGATAATATTGTTCGGTGGTGGCATCACAACTGGACGCTACAACTGAAGTATAATACTAAACCCTCAATGGCATCAGCATCAGCATCAGCATCATCAAAATAATTTAATAATATGACGATATTATAATCTCAATTACAATGGGTAGTTAGACACTTAACGCCCATCATCCACCATCCGCACCATCCGCATCATTAGCATCTCTCAGCATTTCCACCCTACTTACATCCAGGCTTGCACAACTTCTATGCCTTACCCAGACCAGTTCAAGTTGGTTGACTGGTGAGTTGGCCGGGGAAGGTCAAAAAGCGGGTCAACGGGTCGGATCTCGCTGCCTCATTCAAATGCGAGCATAGCTTACAGAATACGGAATACTTACGGAGTACTGTACGCACTCAACTAGCTGTTAGCGAGCCATCAACCGAGGCGCTCATGTTTTCTGATACGAGCAAGGGTAACGGTCCAGCCGATGACGAGCACAGCCCACTCAGTAGTCGAGAATCGAACAAAGTTCAGCTCCGAAGTCATCATCGAGGAGGGAGCAAGCTGCTGGTCAAAAGAGTCAATCATGTTGGAATACGAGCGGGACAAATGGGGAGGCAAGTAGCTCAGGAAGCTACTGAGAACAGCGTGGGCCAAGAGAAGACACATGAAACTGGCAGCATGGGAGTGAGTGATTCTTAAAATCGAGGTGGACACCGCAATGCAATGGAATAATCATGAGGCCGATGGAACAGGGACTGGAGCTCCAACAACAGGGCCTGAACGTGTGTGGTGCTGTCCCTTACCTTGGTCGGTGAAATAAGGCTCCAGTGAGGTCTTGGATGTTGTTCTTGTTTTTGTTTCTCTTTTGGGTTATCTCTCCGATCCATGGAGTAGATCATTTGATCAATATCAGAAGCTTTGAAGAAGACAGCAAGTGACAGCCAGCCAACTTTGAAGAAGGATCGGTGTAGGTTCAAGGCACGGAATGTGTGGTTGACAGCTCACGGTACCTAGTAGGTACCTACTACCTAGTCATCTACCTACCGTGGACAAGGCGCCCCATACAGTAAGTACTGTACACCGTCTCGCCCGAAAAAAAAATAGAAGGGGAGGGGGGGGTAATGAAGACCTGAATGGCCCGGCCAGCCAGACCGCGGTGGACAGCGGGCGAGCGGTAGCCTAAGGTACAGGTAAACTAACTACTCAAACATAAGGGGGAGATGGAAGAGAGGGACAAATCAAACCACTGTTTCATCGAGGGGGGCGGCGGATGGAAATAGAATAATAGTCGATCGTCATCTCATGAACCAACTGGGCAGTAATCGCCAGTGCCCCTGCCGTCATTGGCTGGGTCGGAAGATTACGGTGGCACCAGAGGCTGGATACCTCAGGTACCGGTTGCCCGTACCTGCCTTAGTCCATTGAGCTGGTCACCAGGTTGTCACGTTAAGTCGCTGGGTTAGTACTACGGAGTACGGAGTACACTACCTTTAAGCTAGGCTACCTAGTACTCATACTAGGTACCGAGTAGTAAAGTGAAGTAGGAGGTTGGGTTTGATTAGACTAAGTTATTAGGTAGACAGTCAGACAGAACAGATAGATACCATCATGGATGTGTCGATGGTACTGTACCTGGTATCTAACCTTGTTACTTCAGTCCCTTTGCCCACTACTTCAATAGCACCCACGGTTGACCCCTTCCCTCGGCTCTGTCCCAAAGGTTCAGTTCATCAATTATTGCTCAGATGCGGAAGCTTGTTTAAGTGCAAAACCACGGTAACCAGAGGACCCTTGTCTCGCTTTGCTTTCGCTCTTGCTCCCTTTTGTTATCGATCACTTTGAGATCGATCACCAGTGTCATATCATCCCTCTCACCCTCCCCTGCAACAGCTCTGTAGATACGACATGTTCCATTGTGAATATTCTCCGTCCACGCCTAGCGTCGTCATCTCTGGAGAACTTTATGCTTCCATTCAATGCAATTGTCCATCAAGCCCCGAAACCACCTGCATAGTCACAACTACACTAGTAAATTCCGACCCTTTCTCTCGAGAGCACGCATTGTCGGGTCACTTGGCTCAAACATCACTCCTACCGTGCATGAAAGGCTGGAAACCGGACCCCTGCGGGCGCAACTCCTTCTAGTAGCGCGCGCTTGCATCCAGGTAGTCAACAGCAATAACCATGGGGGCCAACCCTCTTCCATAACCATACTCTTCTCATAAAACTAGCACTTCCCTTGGGACAGGGACCCCCAACTTGTGTAAAGCAATGGGCTAAGCAGCCATCCAGGACCTTGTCGAAGGGCCGGCCTCTCATGCCGTAATTAAGGAACTGCTTGTTGATTGGAGCAGGCTGGGACAAAGTGAACCTCGCAAGTTACTGCCGCTGAACGCCAGAGTTGTTTCGCGTACAAGGACAAATAGTCAATTGCAACACTCTACCACGATTTGGCACTACCTACTAGGAAGTATACAGCTCGGAGGATTTGCCATAAAATGGCAGGAATGGATTCAGCTCACCTGCGATTTCAGCCTTGGGACTTTATGCACCTAAACATTGGTTGGCGATGACATGTGAGGCGCATGCCATCGACTGCATTGGTTAGGGCACAGTGAAGGCTGCCTTTACGCTGATGGGTGCTGTTATGGATATTGTTCCGCCTTTGCAGGATGCAGAAAGGAGGAACAAAAAAACGACAGCAGTCGGATTTGAACCGACGCCTCCGAAGAGAATAGATTTCTAGTCTATCGCCTTAGACCGCTCGGCCATACTGTCTTATTTCTTATAATACACCAGAGCTAGAGATCTTGGCTGCTAGGGCGAAAAGGCAATTCAGAGAAATCAACAGATGGGAGTGGTGTCTCGTCACTGCGTCACTGTAAAGTCAATGAACCTTACTCAGAGATGTTCTTGCTGACTGCCGGAATATATCTGCAGCTTGTCATAGGAACACTTGCGATCAATGTTATGCGGGAAAAAAAGTGGAGGGAAAGAAGATGAGGAAAAAGGGGAAGAAGAAGGAGAATAGGTGTGAGTATGTGAATAGATGCACTATCAACGCAAACCTGGAAGAGCAGATGTTTAATTGTCTTCTGCACAGACAAGGACAGGGCAGGAAGGCAGGACTGACGGCCCGGTGACCAGACAATGGGACCGACCCACCACAGAGGCGCTAGTGCGGTGGTGACCAGCAAAAAAGGAAACGACAGCAGCCGGATTTGAACCGACGCCTCCGAAGAGAATAGATTTCAATACTGATTCAAGTCTATCGCCTTAACCACTCGGCCATACTGCCCTTGACGAATAACGCTTCCGCCACTCAAACATATCTTCGCCAGGTCAGCTGAGCATTGGCACGGTGTCCTCCTATCTTTTGCAGGTCTAATCGAGCAATTGAATAATGCCGGTGTGGTTTTGACTTGGAGATAGTGCAGCTCCTTTGTTTGTCAATGGTGTAGCGCATGTAGCGGATTGAATAAGTCAACAGTGCCCACCTTATCCATCTACGGAGCATAGTATGGATACTCCGTAGTTTACTATGAACCTAGTAACTTAGTGATAAACAGTCGCTCTAGACTTTCCGGTTCTGATTGGGCTTGTCAATAGTGTGTTGGCTTGCATCTATCATCGTGAGCAACTGATTCTGTTGACTTCCGGTCAGTGCTACTTTCCCATTACTGTATGACGTGTCCTGTTTGCCGGCAGCAGGAGCACCAGTTTTGCGGCCATTAATACCCCCGCCTGCTGGACTGTATCTACCACTGCTTTGTTCATATACTGTGGCGGCAATGTGCGGGGCTAGCATCAGGCCTAGCATACATGGGGATCCATTGGTCTAGGGGATGATGGGCCGGGACGCAAAAAACGACAACAGTCGGATTTGAACCGACGCCTCCGAAGAGAATAGATTTCTAGTCTATCGCCTTAGACCGCTCGGCCATATTGTCATTCCCGTGATTTTTCAATGCATTAGTTAAAACTATCCTCTTAATCACAGATTGTCGGAGTACCCAATGCATCACGAGGTATTCTTCATATGCGTACATCTCCGATATAGCTGGTGGTAGTAACTGTAGGGTATGCTGTATATTGCTGTGTCTCTTGCATGGCTACTGAAATATCCTGGTTGTGCTGTCTCTTCACACGCCTGGATAACTAAGGCGCCGGTTTCGTCACTCGTCGTCCGCTATATATCTACGGTGGGCTGCCCATGTAGCATGCACCTGCGTGCTTTGTGTTGGATGAAACAGACACCGACAACTGCGCAGGCACCGGGATGAATCAAGCCCGCATCACCACCAATACACAGAGCCCCAACCTAACCACACTGACACAATCTCACCACACCACCAGCATCACGCCCACAGCCACAGCAAGAGTGGCAGCCCACCTCCCCCACCTTCCCCACTGCACCAAGAATCCCACATAACAGATGTCGTTTGGAAGAGAACAAAACCCAAAGGACAAAGCACCACACCGCGCCTCCCATCCAATTCTGACCTCCCTGGCACGCCCCAAGGTATCGCAGCAAAGGTAGTAGCCCGGCCGAGCCAGTCATCCTCACATGCACCTGGGTGTATTGAGCATGTGAAAGTCGAAGCAGCTCCCCCTTCCCCCGCCCTCTTCACCCTTGCCCCGATATCGCAATCATACAGAGGTTTACTCGGAGCAATACCAGTCTACCACGAGATACCAAAGAAACGGACGTCACCTCACTGGCATGAGGACGGGCTGTGGCATATCCGCTGCGATAGCGGAAGAGTGTGCCGCTTGCCCGGCTTGGTAGATGACCGAGCACAGTACGCATGGCCAATAGCCGATAGATACTACAACGAGAGAATGAAAGAAGACCGCGACATCCAAGCCACATTAGAAATGATAGAATCACAAATAGACCAACAGCGTGACCATAAAAGCCGCACTAGAGTTTGCCCCCAAGGCATCCGAAAATCGAACCTCATAAGATCATCACCGCATTAGAACATGAATAAGCAGAGGACCGAGCAGACGACCGCATCACCTCCTCGCCCCGGTATTTGAAGCCCGACCATAGGATGCGCTCCCCGCGGCACTGTACGCGGGTGGCGGGGTCGGAGTAGGCGACGGTGCTCTCCCTCCGTAGGAGGCCTGTGCCTGACTGCCACTCGCTTGAGCAGGGAGTTCACCGCCATCACCGGTACCAACAACCACCTGCTTGCCGTCACGCATCCACCCAACAACCATGCCCTTGGCGACAGACTTGAGGAAAGCCTTGCGGCTGACACCCGAGGCATCGATGTAAACCAGCCCGACGTTCTTAACACCGCCGGTCAAATTGGATGCCACAGCCCCGGCCTGATCCCCGTAGCGGTGTCCAATCATAGTGGTGGCAGCGTTCGAGCTAGAGGTCAAGACGTGCCGAGCACTCTGCTCAATGCCGTCCGCCAGAGTCGAGAACGCGATCAAGGATTTATTCAGAATCCCGGGCTTATACTCACTGCCATACTTATCGATACCCCTCTGTCGCTCCGTGTTGTTCCGGCGGGCCAGCGATGCCCCAATATTTTGGGCATATCTCCCAACCTGGCCGACAGTTTTGGCCGAGAGATCGGCGGCGCCCTCAGAAAAGGTGCCAACCTTGCGGATGCGCGAGTGGGTGGTCTCCGAAAAGGTCATCGGCTTCGGGTTTGGCCTTGTCTTCCTTGTGAAGGTGTCGGCACCACTCGTAAGCGCATTGGCCAGGTATGTAGACCCGGTGACAATCAAACGCGAAGCCTTCGCAGAGGTCTGGACGATGGTCGACTTCTGATAAGCCGGGTGACGTGCCATACGCAGATACTCCTCGGACACGTTGCTGACATTGACTTTATTGCCTTCGCCCTCGGAAGGAAGCTCAATCTCCACGGGCCCTAGTGAGGTTAGGATTATGTTGCGACCACGAATATCGGAACTAAGCCGTGCAGTATAGAATCACATACTCTTCGAGCCGGGTTTGACGTCCGGCCTTTCCACAACGTCATAGCCCTCCATCTCACCCACCACACTGCCATCCTCCTCATCGACCAGAACAATCCTACCATGCGCATCACCCCCGGGAGAAGCGGCAGAAGAGACATATCCCTCACCGGGCGCATACGTCGAGGGGTTGTATGGAGCATGGTCCCCAGCTGGAGGTGCGCGGTCGAGGAATGCAGTGCATTGAGCGAGGATCGTCTCAAAGGTGTCAATATCCTCCTGTGTCACCTTGTCAGGCCCATGTCCGATCGAGGGAAACTGGATGCGAATGAAGGCTCCCGCATCAGGACCCAGATCCCAACGAGGGATTAGGTAGCTATTCGGCGGCTGGTGGAAAATCTGGGTGGTAGCGGGGAGAGCCAAATCCAGCTCCGGTGGCAAATTTAGATGAAGATAGAAGTCTTCCTCTGTGAGTGCATCCTGGGAGGACACGGGGAACGAGCTTCCGGGGATAGCGGTCTTGGTCGGAACCATCAACAGAGAAAGTGTTTGCGGCCCCGACGGAGTGAGCTCTGACTCCTCGCCATTCTGGATGTGAAAGGCTCGAATGTTGTCTATACTGTATAGAAGTCTTGGGTCATGCACGGTCGAAGCCATGGCTGCAACTCCGTTGACTCTGGACCGGTTGTGACGAGGGGTCAAGGTTAAAGAAAAAGCGCGAGGGCTGTCGACGTCAGGTGGGGACAAGGTGTCGGTAATGTGGGGGAGGGAAGCCGATAATGGACCAGACACAGTCGCGATGAAGGTGAAATAGGTGATGAGGATTGAATCAAAGGGGTAATTCTCAAGTAGGCAGAGAACGGAAGAATTGATAGAAACCTGCTGGCAACTTGGAGGGAGGCCATAAATAGCTAGACACAGCGCCCCTGTCCCTCATGGCTGGCCAAGTCCGTCATGGGGTAGGGGTGCCAATGTGGGATGGATCCATCAGGGAATGAATGGATGGGTGAATGAACGTCAGACCCTGGAATGACATAAGCACCCTGACGCCTCCTAGCGCCTGCTGCGCCACACGTCAATCATCTCCTACACCGCCACCGATTGATAAGGCGAGCTGTGAGTGGTTGGGAAAGGGCAACAACTGACCTACTACCAGTACCTACCCAGGCCCAACGTACCTGATGTGTACAGTACGTCCACTTTTCACCACCACCCCAACGATTCCAATAGAAGAGCGTCCCAAGAGGCGAATTGTGCAAGCCCTTCCAATCGAGACTTTGAATCGCCTAAAATCACTATTTGTGGTAACTGAGACCGACCAGCGGCTACAAGGACCTTTTTTCTTTTTTTAGTATCCCTCCGGCGCTTATGCACTGGCCTCCGACCGTATTCCAGTAAGTCGTTGAGCTACTACTAGCCAGCCCATCCTACAAGCGATCTGGACATCGAATCGCCCCGAGCCAGCGCTTCCTTCTCCTCCGCAAGCATGGCACAGTTCCAGATTCTTTCCGACCTACACCTCGAGAACCCGCGAGCATACGACCTCTTCGGAATCACCCCGACCGCGCCCTACCTAGCCCTGCTGGGTGACATCGGCAATGTCAAAGATGATGGCTACCTGCAATTCCTCGAAGCCCAGCTTCACCGCTTCAAGATCGTCTTCCTCGTCCTGGGCAACCACGAGCCCTTCGATGCCAGCTGGCCGGCCACACGCGAACGCCTGCAGCGATTCTCCGAGGAGATCCAGGACCGGCGCCAAAGGGCGGCGACGACGCCGTCGCAGTTGGGGGAGTTCGTCCTCCTCGATCGCACGCGGTACCGCCTCACGCCCCAGGTGACAGTCCTGGGATGTACATTCCACTCGCGCGTGAGTGAGGCTCAGGAGGAGACCGTCAGCCACGCCCTGAACGACTTTCACTACATCCAGGACTGGACGGTCGAGCAGCACCGTGCGGCCCACGAGGCCGAGCGTGCCTGGCTTAACGACCAGGTCACCGACATCGCCCGAGACGATCCGCATCATCGCATCGTCATCTTCAGCCATCACAGCCCGACCGTTGCGGTGGCGGCCGTGGACCCGCGCTACGCCGACAGTCCGATCACGTCGGCGTTCGCGACGGACCTCATCGGAGAGCCGTGCTGGGAGCGACCGCAGGTGCGCCTGTGGGCGTTCGGGCATACACATTACAATTGCGACTTCACGGACGATCGGTCCGGGAAGCGGATCGTGGCGAACCAGAGGGGGTACTACTTTGCGCAGTCCATCAAATTCGATCCCGCCAAGGTGTTTTGCGTGTGACTGGGTGTTTAGCGTTGACGACTTTGAAAGTCATTTTCTGTTTGATTTGGAGTTTTTGTTTTCGATTTGATTTGATTTGATTTGTTTTATTTGATATATAGATTAGTATAGTATATTCATAGCGACAATAGAGCATAGCGTTTCCATTCCTGTGGTAACGCTGCGAGATGCAAGATGATGTTGTCCCATAACGTGCGGGGGGAATGGAATGGTGAAGAATGAATGTCTTTGTCGAACGGATGATCTGCAGTTGGATTAAACCAACCCATGGGAACGCCGCGTTTAGCCGAGGCTCGAAATACCTCGGCCTCGTGATCCCCGGTCACTTCCCCAGAACGCTGGCTTCCCTTTCCCCGTTCCCCATTTTTATTCTCCTCGCTATCTCCTTGACACGCACCTCAAAGGAACCCCCCCGGCCATTCTTATCTCCTGCTGGATTCAGTTTTGTTTCGTTATTAGCCAGCTAAAATATACCCAGTATACCACACTCCCACAATCACAATGACGAGTCTCTCCCGCGTATTGCGGCCTTTGTCCCGCACCGCTGCTTCCGCCCGCCTTATCACGACAAGACAGCCGTTGCGGACCCGAGTTCTTCCTAGGTATGAGGTTTTACGCGAGGTGTCCAACCACTGGCATGGAACTCAAGAAACTAACCGGGACATTCCGTCCGATCAGTAGTACCCAAGCATTCTCCACCACGTCCCGCCGGCGGGACGTCGACCTTTCCGGGCTGACGCCGACCCCGATCACCTTTCTGTCCGAGACGGAGTCCCTGATGGCGGAGAGCGTGTCAAAGTTCGCGCAGGAGCAGATCAGCCCGAAGGTGCGGGAGATGGACGAGGCGGAGACGATGGACGCGGTAGTGGTGGAGCAGCTGTTCGAGCAAGGGCTGATGAGCATCGAGACCCCCGAGGAGTACGGCGGGGCGGGGATGAACTTCACGGCGGCGATCGTGGCCATCGAGGAGCTGGCGCGTGTCGACCCCAGCGTCAGCGTGCTGGTCGACGTCCACAACACCCTGGTCAACACCGCTATCATGAAGTACGGCGACGCCCAGGCCCGCCGCACCTGGCTGCCCCGGCTGGCCACCGGCACCGTGGGCTCCTTTTGCCTCTCGGAGCCGGCTTCCGGATCCGATGCCTTCGCCCTGCAGACCAAGGCCGAGAAGACCGCCGAGGGTTACAAGCTCAATGGCTCCAAGATGTGGATCACCAACGCCATGGAGTCCGGCATTTTCATCGTCTTCGCCAATCTCGACCCCAGCCAAGGGTACAAGGGCATCACCGCGTTCATCGTCGAGAAAGATACTCCCGGCTTTTCGATCGCCAAGAAGGAGAAGAAACTCGGCATCCGCGCCAGTAGTACCTGTGTGCTCAACTTTGATGATGTCGTCATCCCGAAGAGTAACCTCTTGGGCGAGGAGGGTCAGGGATACAAGTACGCAATTAGCGTGCTGAATGAGGGTCGCATTGGTATTGCGGCTCAAATGACCGGCCTAGCGCTGGGAGCTTGGGAAAATGCTGCTCAGTAAGAGGATCCCCCCCCCCCCCCCCCCCCAAATCCCCATCAAAATTATCTTCCCATCGCTTAAATTCTCCACCGTATCTTTTATTTTACTTCCGGCACCAAGCGCTCTGCAGGGATCAATTCGCTGACCATGTCCAATACAGGTACGTCTGGAACGACCGCCGACAATTCGGCCAATTGATCGGCAATTTCCAGGGCATGCAGCACCAGCTGGCCCAGGCGTATACCGAGATTGCCGCCGCCCGCGCGCTGGTCTACAACGCGGCTCGGAAGAAGGAGGCCGGCCAGGATTTCGTCCACGACGCCGCCATGGCCAAGCTGTACGCCTCGCAGGTCGCCGGGCGCGTGTCCAGCTCCGCGGTCGAGTGGATGGGCGGAATGGGCTTCGTACGCGAGGGCATCGCCGAGAAAATGTTCCGGGACAGCAAGATCGGGGCGATCTACGAGGGCACGAGCAACATCCAGCTGCAGACCATCGCCAAGCTGTTGCAGAAGCAGTACACTCGCTAAAAGTGCTCAGGTTGTTTGTGGTGCTTGACAATCAGCATTGGCCGTAGTCAGTAGTGCTAACTGGTAATGAATATATTCGAACTACTACGTACCAAACTTGGCTTTAGAGTCCTAGACTCACTAGATTGAAATGGCGTGATTGGATTAAGCTCCACTTCCGCGGAAAAGGGCCTTCTGCTCGTCTTTTCTTTTTCTTTTTTTCTTTTTTTTTTTTTTTTTTTTTTTTTTTTTTTTTTTTTGGGGGGGTTCCTCTCTCTGTTCAGTGTTGTCTGTTCCTAGTTGCGGGTTGGGAAAGCGGGCCCCGTCTTTTTTGGAGCTCTTCAAACTCCAAGTCTCGGGGTCGATTCTTCTTCGAGGCTTAGCCTGGGAAAATAGGAAAGGAACCTTCCCCTCCCATCGGAAATCAGAACCGATCTACTACCGTAATTGCGGATGCATGTATGAGTATTTTGACAAGTGGGCAATCGTGAAGGACGGCCCCCGGTAATCCTCTAGTCTAGTAAGCGATAGAAAATGCCAGAACAGGCCCCCATGATGCTCGTCTAATCCGATCGGAAGCGGATTACATGAATGCATACAAAAGGGAAATTGATCATCGTGGGAGGATCGTGGGACGGGGCCATCGGCTGGAGCCGATAGTCAGCCGTGAAGTCTTTATCCAATAATGTAGCACAAAAGGTGAGAGGTCCTGGAGATAATAATGGAATTGAATCCCACGGGAAGAGATTTCGGATTTCGGCATGGTTCAAATTTCGATCAAGCACTTTGGAGTCCCGTCAGCCCCGGCACTTCAGGTGATGCTTTGAATCAAGCACAAATCTTCTTGTATATTCCTGGGTAGCTCGTGGCTTGTGTGCAGAGCCTCAAGGTGTTGATGGTAATGACTCGGATGGTGCACCTGCACCCGGGTACGTGGGTTTTGTAACCGGCTCCTCCCCGAGCCGGGCTCCGGCCCAGTACCGTGGTTTGCTCCATTCGCGCCATTCACATTCCGGAAATTTGGTAATAGCAAGTGGGTTTTGATTTCACCCTCGCTTCTCGAACAAACGAATCTTGCAGCCTTGCATAATGTTAACTTTCGCTTATCTCTGACTCTGCGGACTTGGTCATACATCCTTTTTCTGGACGCGCAATCGTGCACATCGTCCCGATCATGCCGGTGAAAGATGTGCCAAGCTCGTGGCGTATCTCCGTCGAAAAAGTCAGGGATGCTGTGCCGGAGCTTTGTTAGGCCTGCCTAACAAGCCGACCTCCCGGGCGCTTTAGTCCGAAGGTAGGGTTGCGGGGAGGGGTGGTCTGGATAATCTCACGGCTGCTGCAAGATCCCGGAGACCGAGCAGTCAAATCCAAACTCGGACCAATCTTTTAATCCAAATCACTGGGCATTATCCGCACCCTTTCCCGCTGGACAAGGGAGACGAGTGGGTTTCATCGCTTGCCACGGATCATATTATGCTGGATGGTGTAGCCTCTGCGAGCCTCTTCTGATTCTTCAAAAGTCACGATTGATGATGGCTCCAGTCATAGCTATACTCGCTCCTCGGTTGTGTCGAATGTGACGGGATGGTATGCTCGTGATATTGCTGTGGTGCCTGGACAACAGGATACCCCGATGATTCTCTTTCTGAAGAACAAGTTGGCACCGACATCGATCGTTGACCTGGAACACAGGGTATTTGGGGTTGGGTGTGGTGTGAGCTCTCCTGCCCGAGACCACGGATAGCCTCGGGGTGGTAGCCCTGCGGGTAAGGCGGGTAACCCGAATCAGGAGGCTGGGCCGGTTGTGCACAGAGGGAAGGATTGTAACTAATATGGGCTGAAGCGACCGGTAGCAGGTTGGGCGCTTGAATGTGACTTTCATAGACATATGGCTCGAGCCTAGCCCCATAGCTTGTGTCCGAAGGTTCCCCTACGGAAGATGTCCGAGCTGAACCGTATGGTTGCCACTCGGGAGCAATGGATGTTCGACTTGATGTGGACAGCACCGAGGCCGCCCTGGAAGCTGGATTCAAGCTCAAGGAGTCCGGGAGATGAGGTGAAGGTAGCATGGACCCGGAGGGAGTGCTGTATGAGCCATCTGACAAGCAATAAACATGATGATCAGCAATTGGGGCATGATAGCCTATAGGGAGGGATACACTTCGTCACTCACCCAGGCTTGAATGACCCTGCCTGCCTGTGGCCAAGGCTAATTGGTGTCTAAGAGAACGAATCTCCATCTCCATTGCGGTATTTCGTCGGACTATCTCGTCGAACCGGTCTCCTTTGATTTTCAGCTCAGCCACCTGATGCTCTAGACGCTCGATATGCTCCTTTGTCCGCTGACGAATGGTTCTTTGAGCCTCACGGTCATTGGCACGCTTCCTTTCTAGTTGCTCGGCAGAGAGCGACGTCACTTTCCGTGCTCCAGCACGCGATTCGCGTTTCTTCGTCTGCCGAGGTTCCGGGGCAGGGCTCATTCTGCTAACCGACTCGTAGCCAGCTTGATAGTCTCAGTGATCAAAGAAGCGACAGTCATATGGGACAGGAATATATGTGAATGGGGGTGCGATAGGCCCCAGAGGAAGACAGAGAAGCAGAGAAGTTGGAGAGAAGCAGTTCTCTCAAGATGCGACTATAGCTGTTCCGAATGCGTGGGTCGCACTAAACTAGCTATATATATGTTTCCAGCGGGACAAGAAGGAGCCACCAGATTTTAAACAAAAACAAGACAGGCGGTTAAGATAAGTTAGTAATCGTTGTTGAGAATTATGGTTAGGAAATGGACCCATTTTGGCTCGGGCTGTGAAGCCCCATTCCGGAGGGCCGTCAGATTCGCGCGCAGATTTAGGCACGTAAACTGTAAAGGTAAAGCCCCCTCCGGGGGGAACCTTAGTAGATCGTGTACATAGCAAAACGAGGGAATAATTTAAGACTAAGAGGGGAGAAGAGGATTCCCCCCGCCTGCTGTCCTCTGTGAAATTTTTCCCAACATTACTGGTCATTCCCAATGGTCTTCTTTTCTAGCCTCTAACAGGGCCAATGAGTAAGGCTTTGTCACTAAAATCCCTGTATAGTAGGTCAGTAGTAAGTAGTCAGCACGCTATTACGACGGGGTTGTTCCGGCGCTGCGCTATGTGTGCTTTGCCGACCTCCGCCTCCTCCCCCCCCCCCCCCTCCCTCTCACTTCCCAACCTACTAACCTACAAGCATACTCCAAGGCTCTCCGGGAGGGAGGGGGGAGGTGACTAGGCAGACTAGAGATTAGACATCCTAGCCGGGGTTTGTGATGGAATGGCTGGTGCGACGGACTGCGTCGCCCCTCTCCCTCGTCAGGTGCCCGACACTGCTAAACACCGCTGCATCGTATCAGACCAGATGAAAGCAGATCTGGCAGGGTGTCATTTGTCCTTGCAGCACTGACTGAAAGCAGCATTGTCGGAATAAAAGCATCCAGAGAGCATTGTCCCTCCCACAGGTAGAGGTTAGCCAATCGGTGGATCTTAGTCTATCCGGGCCACATGGCAACCCCGATTGAGCGGCGGATACGGCCCTCTAAGCGGGAACAAAAGAAAACCTCAGTATGTCATGGCCTCGCCAGAAAAAAAACATTCACGGGCTTGAATTGGCTTTTGAGAGCCTCTTGGCAACTTTGTCTCCGACAGGTTGGGAGCTGACCGAAGAACAAAAAGTGGCAATTGAAGGGGGGGGGGAAGGGGGCTGCTCCTAGGGCGATGGGGCATCGCTGGGGCACAACCGACCTTCTCTGTAAGGGTTGGAAGCAGGCCAGCGGACCTGGAACAGTGGGCTTGACTGGGCGAAGCGTGTGAGAAGTAGCAGGAACCACGTACGTACCGAAGCTCCGAATGCACAGTTCTGGCGATCTGCGACCTCTGTGGTGGAATGTGCTGCGCAGTCAGCGAATCTTAGATCTCAGCCGGCAATCAGCATAAATGACAATTGGCTGAACGTGGACCCTTCTAGTGTCTAGCCTTGTGATTGTGAACGAATTGCGCATCCCTCGTCTTAGCGCCAGTGAGACTTACTGAGTAAGATCTAACCTAATCCCAAAAGGGTGAGCTATTTCCGAAACCCGAAATCTCCGCGACAAGATTTTTTCCGGATTTGGTGGGAGTTCAGAGAAGTTGCGAAAGTCTCTCCCAGTTTCAGTGAGATCACCAAGCTCTCGCTAAGCCGGTTCCATGGTTGCATCTAAATGGTGCTCGCCACGAGGATGAGTAGATCGGATCCACCCCTCAACCCCCTTATCTTAGCCTCCTTGAAATGAGAATTCGATTCGCTGAACCGAACGGAGACGAGAAGAACTTTAAAAGGTCAATCGGGATACGGCGAGGAGCCGAAAAGGCTGGAACTCGTATAATAGAAGCCCATCGAATAATCGCAGAAGCACGATTTCTCGGCCGTAGCGCATCGCCGCATTCGTGGTGACCTGTACTAACTGCTGGTGCCGGTCTGAACAGCAGGCAAGCTTCAAGACAAGCCAGCGTTGATCTGCGACGAATTGGAATACGGATGGCTGATTTCTAATGCATGACGCATGGTCTCTGTCTGCTGTTCAGTGGGCACTGGGTTAATGCTGAAATGCCTCCGATTTTGTTTCGAGACTCGTCTCGTATGCCGTTAGTCCTAAAGACTGCAGCACCAGAAGGATGAGAGAGACCCTGTCGCGACCACTGCTGCGACGACTACCGATCATCATTCGCCCAGAAGAAGCTTCCGGCAAAAGCAACCGATTTCAGAAATCCAAAATAGAACGATGAATTGAACTGAAGCCAAGGAGCAGCCTCTGAGCCAGCCATGACGTGGGTGCGACTTCGGTCGAATACCGGCTATTGGTGGCGAGGGGCTAGGAGTTCGGAGAGTGATCTCATCGATTAAACAATACTAGAGAGCCTTGCAGTTGCGCTGATAGCAGCTGCATAGCATCATTTCAGGCTGCATCGTGGTGAGACCTGGTAGAGCAGTAGTAGGACAGTCTTGTCCGAATTTCGATCGATTTTGCAGGAGTCTCTCCACCGTCCAACGCCAGAAGCGCTACTGCGCCTTTGAAGAAATCCATGACGGCCTCGTTTCGAGCATGAGAGCATGCAGAGCTACGCAGCCTACGACTGCGTACATGGTCACGCCCCGGAGAACCTCCGTTGCATCCTTGTTACGTTCCCTGCTCCCATCGTATTCGAATATCCCGTAATTCCCTGGAACTATAGGGCTGGGTGTCCAATTTATGAAGCTGGAGCAGAACGCAGGGAATGTTCATACACACCCTGATCAGCACGAGAAGGCCCAAAAGCCGTGCATCATAGCCGTGGGCATGATCGTTGCCTTCTATCTATTGCACGTGTTCGAGCGCCTTGTCCTAGATTCCTTTGTGCGCTTCGTGGCTCAAGTGAGGGGTGTAAGGTGTAAGATGTACGTCGTAGACATCGACTAATCTGCTGGGTGATGCAAGCTCATCGGACTTGATTTAGAGACAAGACAATGCAGACCAGGTCATGACGACACTAATAACAGGCGACCGCTATAGACCGGGGTGTGTCAGCTCGCTATCAGGCCGTTGTCTCGTGATTTGCGGGGGGGGGGGCTACGCAGGGAATCAAAAGGATGAAAGAAGACCATGCGAGAGATGGTAAAGGCCGGGAAACACACGAGGGTGTGTTCTAGCTTGATCAATTGTCTGAAGATAATAAGAGCGCTGTTTGTTGTGATGTTAAAAAAACCGGGCGACAGAAAGGCGGGGAGACCCGGCGCCGCGGACAATTGTACTTACCTGATTTGGCCATTTTGGACTCGGCAGTCAGCCAGTTGTTGTTATGCTTCTGCTCTCCGCCTTCATTTCATTCATCAATTATTCACAACCCACTTGTCCCCCCATTCTCAACAACAAACACCCACACTAATGCAAGATTAACTTCTGGCTTCTCTTCAAGGCGCTCAGCGATTATCAGCCTATGGATCCGAGCTACAAAGCCCGTAAGGAGGCTTTTGTGTCCAATCTAACCGGTGGAAGCATCTTCGAGATTAATGCGGTGACCTTGGTAGCTCCGGTATGTTGTGTACACATGTCCAAAATTGCCCCAGTGTGTACTAATCTTCAAACTCAACCTGCCTCATCTCACCTCATCTCGTTTCTTCTCTTTCTCTTCTGATTCATGATATCTTCTAGGCCGCTATCCTTCTTTGGTCCGTCCTCCAATCCCGCCTTTCCTTCTTCTCTCCATACACTCCCGCGGCGCTGGTCACCGATTTCCTACTCAATATCCTTGCGATTCTCTTTGCAACCACCGTGTATTCTGCAGCACCATGGACTCTAAACGCTCTTCTCCTCGCTCCGGCTCTACTGCTGCTGCTCAATTCACGACCCCAACCCGCTCAAAAAAAGGCCAAGCCACCGCCGCATGCTTCGATATCGAGGAAAAGTGAATCCGAGCCCGATCACTCCCTCCCGATTCTCCCTTATCTGACAACCTATCGGGCATGTATGATGGTCATCACCTGTGCTGCCATTCTGGCCGTGGACTTCCGTGTGTTCCCTAGGAGATTTGCCAAAGTCGAAAATTGGGGAACCTCGCTCATGGATCTGGGAGTTGGGTCGTTTGTGTTCTCTGGAGGGGTGGTCTCGGCTCGCTCAGTTCTCAAGAGTCGTCAAATTGGAGGCCCGAAGAAGTCTCTGGGTCAGCGACTGGTGGCCTCGACCCGCCACTCCATTCCTCTGCTCGCCCTGGGTCTGATCCGACTGTACAGTGTCAAAGGTCTCGACTATGCTGAGCATGTGACAGAATATGGCGTGCATTGGAACTTCTTTTTCACCCTAGGCTTCTTGCCTCCCTTCGTTGAGATCTTTGACACCCTCGCTGCGCTGGTCCCAATTTACGAGCTCTTGTCCCTTGGGGTTGCGGCTTTGTATCAGGTGGCTCTGGAATCCACTGATCTGAAGAGCTATATATTGGTCGCTCCCCGGGGACCCGACTTGCTCTCCAAGAATCGGGAAGGGGTGTTCTCGTTCGTAGGGTATTTTGCGATCTTCCTGGCTGGCCGGGCCATTGGCATCAGGATCATGCCGCGCGGCACATCCCCGTCCACCACCCCGCAACAGGCCAGGAAACGCGTGCTAGCTACCTTGGGAGGCCAGGCTCTGGTTTGGACCGGGATATTCCTGCTCAACTCGACGTATGCGTTAGGCTACGGCGCAAATCTTCCGGTGTCGCGGCGCCTTGCCAACATGCCATACGTAGTATGGGTGTCGGCTTTTAACAACGCACAGCTTTTCGTGTTCTGTCTCCTGGAGACAATCTTCTTCCCATCAGTCCATCGGACCTCGGGAAGAGAGGGCGAAGCGGAGCGGGTCTCCTTTGCAACCAGCCCGATCCTTTCGGCCTTCAACAAGGGTGGACTGGCGGTGTTCTTGGTGGCCAACCTTCTCACCGGCGCGGTGAATCTTAGCGTCCCTACCTTGGACCTCAATACCGCTCAAGCCATGGCCATTTTGATTGGGTATCTCGCAATCCTGACGGGGGTTGCACTGGGGCTGGACGGGGCTGGTATCAAATTGGTAC